GTCTTCAATTGTCTAAACATGTATTTTATTGGTGAGCTAACAAAGAAAGAGCACCAGGTCCCAAGAACAAACACTTTATTGCATTATTCTATGGAATAAATTCGTCAGATCACATTAAAAAGCATTCCTTCCTCAGCTAAATTAGGACACTTAATTGCGTTTCAGTATCTCTTATTGAAAATGAGCCTATTAGCTAACGCTGTGCAGGAAATGGTCTCATAAAAAGCACGTTTTTCCACATAAACTGTGGTTACACCAAACATGCGCCACTGCCAACTATGCTACATTTGAATGCTATAAACTCATTGCCTTTGGAGTAGCAGGACACATAGCAACACATGGCCATAAAAGCTTTAATCAGGCACAAAGCAACTGGTGTGTATCAACACTGTAAAGGTCAACTTGAGTAAACAATTTAATGACGGTTTTTCATTTTTTTTTCTAGTATTAGGAGACATCACACGTCTTAGAAAGAACTAATTAGCAGCCAAGGTAGGCAGAAGGCAGTAGTGACAGATATTAACACAGTAAGTGTTGGTACAGTCACAGGCTAATGACTGCGCGGAGGAAAAGTAAGCGGGGGAAGGCGAGGTTCTTCAAAGAAACATGTCAAACTGTAAGTTCGACATTTTCACAACCGCTTATCCAACGTTACATTCTGGAGGTGAGGGCGATGGGACGAGGGGTACGCCTGCAGATACCATGAATCTGGCATCAACGCTCATGCAACACCTGTTGTTGTTGTTTTTTTATTACCGTCTGCGCCTATTGTTTCCCTCTAATCTCTTTCATTGTCTTTCTTTCAGAGCAGCGAGCAATATAAGCAGAAAGAGTCCTACACTTTGATTTCACTCCAAATGCAACATGTGTGAAACATTCAATGTTTACAATGCAAATAAATCAAATTCATGAACAATAATTGAATTTAAACATTAGGTTTTCTCTCTTTACAGATTTTTTTTTATGCACATTGCAAAAATATGCTTATCAACCCTTGCAACTTCCAGCTTTAGCAGCAATAGCCTATTTTCTTGTATGAAAGTGGGTAACCAATAGTAATTGTGTGGATGCCTCAAAGGGCATCCACACTATTGAGTTCCTGTTTCTCTTTATTCTTGATCTTCGAGTTGCTTCCGTACGTTTTTCGGCGTTCAAATCTTAAAAGATTCTGCTCTTTCTTGCTATGACTTTTGGTGCTCATAACTTCTATACTTTTTGAGATGTTGAATTTTTTTTGCAATATTTTTTGCCCATTTCTTCCACATTATCAGTGGGGTCACTGATTTTCCTTGTCGGGTTGACCGAGGTTTTAGCTCCGTGAGATGAGCAGCCGTTCTCAGACTGGGAGGCCCGGGTTCAAATCCCGCTTATGGCAGCATTTCATTCAGTTAACAGTTAAACTTTTTTTTAACTCTTTTCAGCAAAATTTTCAGTTTTTTCTGCTGTTTTCAGAAAAAAAACTCTTTTCTGCAGAAATTCTGCTCATTCACCTCTTCTGCAAAATTTTCAGCCTTTTCACCTCTTATCAGCACAATTCTCAGCAGCTTCTGCTCATTTCAGCAGAATTGTCAGTCTCTCCACCTCTTCTTTGTGAGAATGAGTTTGGCTCAGTGAGATGAGTAGCTTCCTTGAGACCAGGAGGGCCAGGTTTGAATCCTGCTCACGGCAAAACTTTTCAACACTTTTCAGAAAAAATTTCTCCGTCTTTACAACTTTCAGTAGAATTTTTGGCTTTTCACCACTTTTCAGCAAAAAGTTCTGCTTCTTCACTTGTTTTCAGCAGAATTTTCAGTTCTTTACCGCCATACAATTTTTTGCAACTTTTCATCTTTTTCAGCTATTTTCAGCTGACAGCTTCAGCGTTACGGCATCCACACAGCATTTTCGCAGGAAATGCAAATTTTTCTAGTTGAATTACAAATATGCATAAACCCTTTTTCCACATCCAGAGTTTTACAGCAGTTAATGTGTCCTGAATTTCATTTTAGTTCCAAACTAAAGTCACTGGAACAGCTTCTATACACAAAGCCTGGGAGAAAGAACTGTGTTTTATTTGAGGGACAAAAGTACAGGAGGAGACGATCTGTGAACATGCACGATCAGAAAGGAAGTATATTATGAGGCTCAGAGAAAAAGACACTAGTAGCTCTAGTTTTACATATTGCATTATATGCACACAATTCTCATGCACCCAGATCTGTTATGCAAATTTCAACACATTACGAGAAAAAAAAAATCAGTCAAGATAATACCCATGCATTAGCTCCTGCCTCTGATTTGTATGCAGAGAGTCTGCAGTCAAAGTCTCGATGAGATGAGTTATGAACCTACATGGAATTACAGTGACGCCGAGTTTCGACTGCCTGCACTCTTTAAACTGCACACAGAAGCCGCAACGACACAAAGGGAGATTTGCAGCAGATATAAAACTCTAATGTAATTGACTGTGCGCCACAATCAGATAAGCAACACTAAATGTCAAATGACTCCAGCTGAGTGGAGCTTGGCGATAAAATATATAGCGCCCATTACGGCGTGTCAGTCATTCACCGAGCCCGCCTCTTTAACCTGAATGAAGAATAGTTCCTTGAAATCAAACGTGGAAAAAGCCAGGACAGGCTGACAGATCCTCTCTCTTGCATTTTATGCTTAGTTTCCCTCTTATCACAGAATATTAATGTGCCACTGTGGGTAGTTAGCAGCCAGATTTTCAGCACCTGATAAATCTCAACCCGCAATTTAAAGCGCAAACTGTATTTATTTTCACTGCGATCGTCATTTGCAACGCTGTATACATTTTAAATTTCATATGGGCGGCTGAAGGCTCAGCTCGCCCTGAGGAATAAGTCCCCCTCGCGTACCATTACTCAAAGTGACTGCCTCGCTCCACGGAGACAGAGAGAGACAAATGTACACGGTGCAGTAATGAACTGTTTGCCATTTGGGTAAGCGATTGGGTCACGAGACTCGCATACATACGTACTCACGAGAATACAGTACTGCAGCATTTCATCACAGACGTTCATATAAGAAGGAAACGTCTCGAGTTAACATGATTGAAGTGATGATGACAGGTCTCTGGCTGTTCTTGCTTTTATGTTGTTTGTGGTGTGACTAAATGATATGCTACGATAATGATGGTTGTCAGCTAAAGTTAGGAAAATCAAGCAAACTCACTTCCAAAAAATATGCTTTTTTTACAGTCTTGCCTCAAAAAAACTTTGTTTTCCCCGTGTGCCTGACAGCCCACAGCTCCTTATTTGTCTCCTCAATGCACAATAACCCACTGCGACCTGACTTCTCTTTGTCTTGCAAAGATCTGTTATTTTTTCATACCAGTTTTAAGCTGTTTTGACTTTGAGTGACTGAGCACCCGTGACACTGCTTTAAAGAAAGGTGATCTGAATGATGCAAACACCACGAGGATACTCGGGCAAAGTTTACTGTTAATAAATTGCATACTTTTAAGTGGCTTTGCAATTCTTGAAAAACAACTGCAAGACAATCTTTGAAGCAAATGACAGATGTGACTTTATTCTGTTATGACAGCTACAGTAGAAATAAACACTTTAGTACTGAGAAAAGCTGACACACCACACCACACCCATTGTAGCAGCATTACACAGGCGTGTCCTCTTTTATAGAGCTGATAAAAAACCTTGTATTTCGATTTTACACGTCTCTGACTGGCTCAGCACCAATAAGACAAACAGCAATGGGACGGACGGCCTTTATTTGTCATTTCCTGCAAAAACAAAGAAACACATGCTGCAGACAAATCTTAACACTTCTCTTTTTAATTTTGCAACCTTGTTTACTTCAAAGAAATACATTACTCTTATTCGATTTTAATATCTGTAAAACGCTTAAAACATTTTTATGTAAAGCACTTTGGCAACACACCGAGCTACAGAAGCTACGCTGGATGAGCAGCGCAGCAGCAGAGCATTTCTGACCCCGGTGATGTTTGCCAATTTAGCTGACCATGATGGCAAACCATGAAAGACATCTATAGGGCCTGCACTGTGCCAGAACTGTAACTATGTTCCAGTGGATTTTGTTTTCCTGCAAAGACAATTGGATCAGCAGGGTTTTTGGACTTTCAATCAAAAGTAGAAAAACTGTCAGCTTTGAGGCATCATCTCCTGCAGCCCTTTTGGCCCCGTTTCCTTTCTGGTCTAGCCATGCCTGACAAGCCATTAGAAGGTCTGTCCGCCTGCCGCAATGGATGGGCAATATTCCAGACAACACCGGGAGTCTGATAAGGCTTAAATCATGAGAGGACAGCTTGGACATGAAGCTAGAGTCCCGCAACCATCATTTTTAGACTATGCTGCACACTAAAAAGGAGAGGCTTCTCATTTTCTTCATTGCTTTTTATCGTTTCATCTGTCTGTCTTATGTTTTACATACGGCCTTGCTGACCACAGTCCCTCCTTACCACACAGCATTTCCAAAAGAAAGATCCCCTTTCATTGGCTCCTCTGGAACACTTTCGTCACATCTGTGCACATGTCTCATTGAATTTGTGATGATGGGTAGGGATTCAGGGATGTCACAGGAAGTAGACAGCAAATAGTAAATACTTCTGACAGGAGCTGTTGGGGGAAAAGGGCTTCTTAATGGCTGGATGCTTCAAAGGCGACAAGAAAATATAAAATGACCATTGCTTTTTGTTATCTTAGCTGTTTCTCCTGAAAAATATTTTCATTTCCATCTCTTTTTATCGCTGCACGCCATCTGAATACACACACACACACACACAAATGGAGAAAACCTCCAATGTCCATTGCATAAAAACAGCCCACTTGTGAGAGGATTAGTAATTTGCAATTTAAACATAAGAGGAGCACTGAGTGATCCTTCTGAATCGCTGCACAAAGAGAGGTTATGGAAGGGGGCAGCCCAGTTCAGATTAAACATGGACTTCACTTTTAAAAGGCTTACCTTGTTTTGCAAACATGAATGGCCAAAAAACTCCAACAGAACAAACAGTTTACCTTGTAAAGGAGCACAATGATCTGTCGCAGTTTGAGCCTGTGGAAAACGCAGACGTCATACAGCGCTGATACAGCCAGAACAGTAACTCCGAGCTCCTTCCAGAGCATGCTGCAGGCGGCGCAACCCAAGCTACCAAGGAACCAGGCCACGATTCGCCAGGACCCAGCACGCCCCCGCAGCCTACAGTGACGTATGTAACACAGCAGGGACAGCAAGAAGAAAAGGGCGGCACCTTCATCGGCTCGGCCGACTACACCTGCCACTGCCTCGGTGTGAATTGGGTGAGAGGCGAAGAGCAAGCCAGCCAGTATGCTCCACAGTCCTCCTCCGAGCAGCAGGCGAGCGAGTGAGGTAAACAGGCCTGTCACAGCCCCATGGAGGACCACATTAACCAGGTGGTAACCCCAAGGCTCCAGCCCACCCACAGCATGATTAAGGCGGAAGGAGAGGGTACACAGGGGTCGGTAAGACTTATGGCTGCCGCTGTGTGTGAGTAAGGTGCCCCAGAAATCATCGTAGAAGATGTTTGTCCAGGGCGTCTCTGGAAGCAGGTCCTGATTGGTCTTAATTGCACGGCTGTAAAGAGAGAGAGAGAAAAAATGGTCAGACAAGAACTTCTGATTGCAACAAAATCAATCAGTATTAATCAGTATTTGATCTGAATGTTGCGTTGACTATTACAAAGACTACTGGTCTCTGACATTCAACAAACGTGTGACAACTGAAGACATTATTTGCTGCTGTGGGTTTCTACAGGCAATGCCTGAACGTGTGGTCATGTGGCATTCACACAGAAAATCAAACGGCGAACTTTAAGTACTGGGCATCTTTGCCACCACCACTTTGGGATTTAAGCAAGAGAACCACACCCAAACCCACAAATACAGACATCCGGTGTGTAATTTTCTGAAGTTAAGAAATAAGGTAGACTGAGATGACACCAGTTCGATTTCTGTTGCAGAGACCGAAGGAACAGATTTTTAGAAGGTAAGGGTAAGTGTCCATGAGTAAGTACAAATTAAAACATTTAATGTGTAATTTTGGCCTCTGCTGGCAGCCGTGGCCACCAAATAAAAGACCAGTTAGACATCCCCTGACAGGGTTGAAGCTACATGACCTATCCTAATGCTGCTACATTAGCCACAAGCTGTGTGTCAGTGGTTGTGGGCACGGCCGACAGGGGTCAAGTAAGGGGGAAAGGAAGGCACATTTCTCCCTACGGGAGTCCTTACATAGATGTAAACTGATTTCCTATCTCTTCTGTCACACTACAAAGTGTCTGACAGCTCGTCAAACCTCTGCTGCTTTTTATCTGCTGATGATTTATCGACTCTTCAAATCAAACAAAGACATAAAAAAAAAGCGAAAAACGTAGCGGTGTAATTGCAAATGTGATAGGTGGTGCATGACAAGTGATAACAAGCCAAGTGCACCCCATTGTAATCTCTCCTCACGGTTAACACACGATTAGTCTGGAGACAGATGGGAGAAGGTGAGACGGAGTGTTCAACACCTCATGACGAGCAGTTTTTTAAATATATGATTAAAATAAACACAAATTTGAGAAGAATTTATGTATAAAAACCCAGTTGTCTCAAAGGTAATGAACTGCTTCCTCAGCCACTCTGAGACTTTAAGCAGAATACCTTGGCACAAGCCCAGCTCTCAATAGCAGAAAGCTCATGAGAAGTTTGGTGAGGTGCACTTCAGCATTCATCAAATCACAAAATGATCCATCACCCAGTCTCTGTGAAACCGGTGAGCAGAAATAGCTCCACCTATGATGGATCTAAGGAAACTACAGGCTGCAGGATGTTGGAAAGGGCATGGAAATAATCAACAGGGATATAATAGAAATGCCTTGAATGTCAGCAGACAAATGACTGGATTTTTTTCCCAATCTTCTCCAGTCACACTGAAGAAGCAGGCTCACGAGTCAGTAGCCCAACTCTACACTTCACCCCTCAGATACGCCAGTTCGTTTTCTCTGGCCCATTTGTCAAGCGAGATCTTCATTCCTCTGCAAAATCCTCACATAAGAGGCATTATGGTTCAATTACATCTCAAAGCCATTCTGGATAGAGTGTACTCTTTTTCCATTGCATAGTGCGGTGGAGCCAAAGAGGCCAGATAGAATATATATCGCCTCAAAACCACACCAGATTTTTCTGGCAGCAAAGCACAGACAGAAGCGATGTGAGGCAGGCAAAGACCCACTGAGCCACCGTGCCAGGGCTCACTTCTCAGATTGTCTCTTTCTTATATGTCACAGAGGCAAGTGAGCAGCTAACACACTCAACAAGCAGGGAATCGAGGAATACAGAGAAAGAGGAGGTGTGACAACACGATCCACTTTGCAACAACTACACAAACACGCCCAATAAATGAACACGGTTGGATACGGTCAGTTTCTCCGCTGTATTTCTAATTATAAATCCACTGCTTCTTGTCATCATCATCATCACGAAGCCCCATTGCTGCACCAGCTAAGAGGCCAGCTGGAGAGGAAGGTTCAGTTTCTGTTGTTGGCTGGGCCCATTCCTCGGTAGAGCTGGCAGCAGGAAGGACCTCTCTGTGCACTGCGAGCCTTTTCCAGGCGAGAGCACATTCCTCCTCCAACCGCCAGCCTGTACTCCGACTCCCGAAGGAACAGACGGATCATGTGGCCACTAACAAGAGAAGCCTCAGAAAAACTTTTCTACCTCCCATTACTCTTTCTCAATCATCTGCTTCTGGCTACCATCCTCAGTTCCTCCACAAGTTGTCTGGATCTCATTCACGTGCTTTAATCGGTCACATTTGTTTTCTTGTCAGAGTGTGGACTGAAACAGGGTCGTGTCAGAAACTGCGCTTTTATCCCTGTTGAGATTTGTTTTTTTATATGAGCAAAGTTTTTGATTATTTACGAAACGGCGTGTTTACTTACACAGCATGAAATATTTAACGAGAAGAAAAAGGCTGTTAAGGCTCGTGAGCCTGGAGTGTGTGTTCTACTACGCATGCTGCGACCAATTGGAATAATTGTGGTGAAACTAGAAACCTGAGAGATGTTAAAAACATTTCCTAAACTCAATATTTTTAGAAAAGTGTAAGGTCACCAAAACAAGAATGTGTGTGTGACCCCGCTGAACTGAGAAAATAAAGACAGCATGGAGTCTGTTTATATCACATGCCTGACTAACTCCTCCTCGTCGCTTTACAAAAATTATCATTTCCATTCTCACACCACTTCTGAAAGCTGCCGGGGCACTGACCGATTCTCGTATACATCAGTCAGTCCTTCTGGTTTGTCAAAGGCTCTTTGTTCATGGTTGACTTGGAAAGAAAGAAAAAAAATCCCTACTTTTCTTTGTGTCTACCTGTCTGCAGAACCTACAAGGCTGAATTTTGTGAGATATGGTCGAGGGGTCACGAGCCAGGGAAAAATCTCATTTTGATGCTGTGTTTTGGAAGCAAAGATTATTATCATGGTTTGGTTACAAATTACATATTAAAGATGAGTGGACTACCGGCCTTGGAAGAGGTCTGCTATGACCACACAATGCAATTATAAACCCAGAATAAAAGCAGCACATCCATGAGAAATCTCCCCATCTCCTTACTCTCTTAGGCAGATCAAGAGAGAAGAGCTACTGGAACAATTTCATGTATAATAAGAATGCAGAAGGAGCAGGGTGGAGAAAAATATCCACATCTAATGACTGCAGGATTCCACGTAAGGCCATCGAACATTCAAGATTGATTGGCTCTTTATGGTTGAGACTAAGCAGCACATAGGAGACGAGCCTGGATATTAAAAAGGAGATTGAAATCCAAGGACATGTAAAGGGAAAATCCTGATGACAAGTACTCAATGAATTTGAGATGAAGCCATGAGGGAAACACAGCTGTATGACCAAACTAACCACCCCCCCTCCTTTTTTAAATCCTCCAAAGCCTGAAGGAAAATGACATAAAAATAGGCAAACCATTCTCCCCACAGAATGCATCCAGGCTGGGCATGTGACCAGAAATAAATTACACAAGAGTAAAGGTTTTTGTAAAGTACCAAGTGCCTCGTATGCCTATGAAGAAAAATATTCAGCAGCACTCAAGAAGCAAATAGGAAGCATATCAATAACCAATTTTACAAAGTGGAACACTTGAATTTTACTAGTAAGAGGAATCTTTGTACAAGTCAGGCGTTCTCATCGGATTCTAATTCAATCAGGTGATGAAGATCAGACTAAAGAACTCTCAGCCTGGACGCCGGTACACTGGAGACAAAGTTACCCTTTCAGAATAAAATACTTATTACGATTTCAGCATGTAAAAAGAAGAGAGTTTGGCGAAGATCTGCCAATTTTATGTCATCGTGGAGATTCGATATCTAAACGAAGCCCGCTGGTATTTTCGGTCTCCCCACACAGACGCAGTGGTAGCCCACTCTCTGTTCCCCAAACGTTCTTTCCAGTTTTCCTTCTCATGAGCACGCTACCCGGTCATTCTCCCACTAGGTTACACTTCGTATATGCATGAGTGCGTTTTCTACTTTTTAATTGACTAGAAGGATAAATAAAGAAATAAATAGAGCTGGTTACGACCCCAGATAAATGGGGACGGTTGCATCTGGAGGGGCATCTGGCGTAAAATCGTTGCCAAATCAAGCATCAAGAACAGGGATCAACAATAAATCTATAAACAATATTAACAAGAAAGTGTAAGTGTAATTTCAGCTGAGCAAAAACAAGTTATTTGATTTGGCTTGCTTTTACATCCCCACACATTCTGCATCTTAAACCAAATTTCATTATCACTGCAGATTAAAAGAGTCAGTGACTGATTTCATAGATTATGCATGAAAAAGAGACGACAGTTCAAGAAGACAAACAGAGCCAGTGCCATTGTGGGGTATCTGCTGAAGCCAACACACTGCTGGGGCCCACCATAAAATCCCCATTGTCATGAATGAATAGCTTCTTTCTTCCCCTTGACACATGTGATTAGCATGTTTATAACACCATTTCTTAAAACGGCCCGAGTGAACATTACGGATATTTCAGTCTTCTTCATTTTAATGTAATTGATAAGAATTGAAAATTGGAAACAAGTTCAATAAATATTAAAAGAAAATTAAGAGCACTGTCACTCCTTACTGTGGATCCCGTTCAGTCACTTTAATTGATGAGGGTAAGAGTGGATGAGCCGGTGGCTTTGTAGGCAAAGTGGCGGCTAGAGATGAGGGAAATCGTGGTTCCTGCCAATTACGTGGATATAATTTGAGCCTAGCTCTAGTCTCCTATGTATGTTGAAGAGTTTAATTACTGGTGGTGCACCCAAGTTTATATTGCCCGTTTCCTTTGATCTATATTCTTACTTTCTTCTAATGGACATGCGCTCCAGTACTGTGGATAGTTTGCTCTAATCTGCGCTTAAAGTTTAAAAACTATGTTTAATATGCACACACAATAAAAAAATAAAGACAAACTCATTCAAAAGGATCTAAGTGGTCTTCAGAGTGTAGCAAGTAACACTGTGTCCAAATCACCCAGCAGCACTCCTAAGCCTCCCCAGGTCTTCCCCCCGAGCAGTGTATT